CATAGTTTACGGGGGGTTTGCAAGGCGCCCGAGCGATTTCTGGGTAGCTGTGGCCAGTGTATTTACTAAAAATGTGAGGTAGATGAGAGGCCGGTAGCAAGGCTGTGTCCCCCGGACGCAAAGCTTTCCTCCTGACGGGCAGCAGGGGCCGGGGGGAGTCATTCAAACCCAGCCAAAGTTTGTTCTCCTTCCAGAAGCCGGAGAAGGGGTCGGTAGGTGCGAGCTCCGGCCGGAGGTCGGTGGTTGACAGCGCCCGGCTTATTTTCCTCCGTTTCGTCTTAAGGACCCGTTCGGTTTTGCAGGATGTGTAAAGGGCTTCCACGTCCTCTCTGGAGATCAGGGTGCATTTGGCGGCGTGGAAAGCGATGGAGTTGATGGCTTTGAGTTTCCTCAACTCCTCCAGGTCGCAGTGATGCTTTTTTACTTTTAAATGATCCATTCGCTTGTGCACGGTAGTTCGCGGGATGTTTTTGAGCAGGTCTGTAAAAACCTGGGAGAGTGCAAACATTTGCTTTCCTTTAATGATGAGGTAGCCGAGCCTCACGCCATCCACCTCTTCAAAACCCGACTTCAGGTCTCCCATTTCGTGAATTAAATTATTCCCAGCATTTGCAGAGAGAGAGAGAGAGATGAAAAAAAAAAAAAGGGGGAAAAAAAAAAAGAAAAAGCCACACACACACAATCCTCAGCCAGATGCTGTATTTGTCTCAAGGCATCCTGCTAATAAAATATAACAAAGGCTGTTATTCCTGGTGAATGAAGTGCCAAACTTTAGACAAAATTAAAAAAAAATAAATTAAAAAAATACCATGAGGCTACAATCAAGATATAATCTTAAAAATCAGGTTTGCCAGAGTGTTTCTCTAAGTTGCTGTTGAAGATCAGTACCTGTTCCCTTTCATTCCCTGCTTTTCCGTTGGAAACTATGATAATGGAATGTGAAGGGAGGAAGAGAAAAGAAATGCAGCTGCTATTCCCGCCGCTGCTTTAGCTACAAATAAAATGACAGAGTGAAGTGAGCTCGTCCGGAGACACCTTCATCAATTAATTCCCCTAAAGCCAACGCTGATTGGACACTCCTGACAGGTGATGCAATAAAAATTGATATTCCACCCCTTCCCCCAAAAAATCTCCCACTAATTAGCATACCCTTATACTGCCACCTCCCCTCCCAAAGTAAATAATACAGTTAGTATATAAATCTTTCTATTAAACAATCCGAGCTCAAACACATTCAGACCTCTCAGACTTCCTCGTCGCTAGCTTCCGAGGAAGGATTTGCATGCTTTTTCCCCTATCGTTTCGTATATTTTTAGCCTATTTTGGACAAACGTTGCTCTTTTGTGCATGCCGTGAATTTAAAGGACATAAGTCTGATCGTAGCGATGGAAAACCCTTCGGTAACGTAGCCGCTTTAAACTAGCATTTTATCCTGCGTTGTGTGGAAAATGAAGCTTAGCGAAAACGTGCAGAACAGCCTGGTATTTCCCCTTCTGAGGCTCCAAAGTTAAATGCTCGGTTGTTAACGAGAGGGAGTACTTACATTTTCGAGTTTCTCTTGATTTTCCTCTTCTGCTTAATTAGCTTTTTACAGCCGGGGACTAAGGTTATTTTGTTGTCTGTATATCACGGGTTCCTGCACGGAGATACTGTAACACTTTTAACTGAAATTCTGCCTGTAATATTGCGGGAGGGGGGAGGAGGACGTGGGCTCACGTCAGACCCATAACAAAGCATAGATAAGCCAGAAATGTATACACTTTTCACAATTAACCGTGCTGGATCACGAGCTGGAATGTCCTATAGTCCCAGAGCCCACGTCAGGATTCCTGCGCGCTGATTGCTTCCAGCAGAGAAAGGAGAATGTAAAATATCCAAGGTGCTTCCAAGAGCCTTTACGTAATAACAAAAAAGTGCTGGCACACACAATGTACGATATTGCGACGGGCTAGGATGCTTCTGGCTCGCAGTTTGCGTATTCCGCTCGGAGTAGCCCTGCCGCAGCTTTCTGATGTTCCATTTATAGCAGCCCCTTAAAATCAATTTGAAGAAGCAGCATGAAGGTTTAACCTCTTCTTAGGAACGTTAAATTATTCGAGTGTCAGGAACGAGGGTTTCGCAAATGTTGCGATAGCTGCATGCCTCTCCCTTGTCACGTTAAAATGATGCTGCTTGCGGTTTGCACGTTAGGCGCTGCAAAAAAAAAAAATCACCAATCTCTGCCGTGCACCCAGTGTTCCGCTGGATACAAACACGAGCACTTTTACGTATCGCCGCACATCCAGAATTAGACATATCCGTGAGATTAATGAGACATCTCATATTTCTGGGACTTGGCGAAAAAATCGACGAAGGAAAATAACAATAATAATAAAAAAAAAAATCTTCAATCCCAAATGTCAATACCCACTCCGCGTATTGGCAATATGGTGCGCGGAGTTCGCGTTACCCCGTCAGGTACAGCTAAAATAAAGCGCATAATCACTCCGTAAAAACGCAGCTTTGCACGCCAAGGCGAAATGCAGGCGAGCCCCCCATTTCGCAGGAATTCTAGAGAGAAGTGGGAATTTGGAGAAGTGCATCCGGGAATGGAGGAAGTCTATTCAAGGGAGCCTCTAACTCGGAGGGCTGAGATTTGAAAAGTCAGCCCTGGACTACTGTTGCTCTCGGCGCAGATGTAATCGCCGCTGTTCAACTTAATCCATGTGTGCGCGAACCGCGATGCCTGGTTCTTCCCTTTGAGACCTAGGGATAGTATTCCCATCCGAGAAAGCAGAGCTACGGCAAATTACATTTTGTCCCTCGAATTAGAAAAGGATCATTGAGTGGATCTCGTGATATTTCAGCCTTTGAACGTAACCGAGAGGCAGCAGTGAACAATGCCTCGGCGCGGCTAAGACCATCCGCGGAGTTCGCCTTCCCTCGCCTTGCATCTGGATCCCCCAGCCTTGCCTTTCTCTTTCTCGCTCGCGTGAGAGGCACCCTGCTATATGCTGAGGCTGGAAGCAAAGTTTCGAGAGAAAACAGCTGCTGGCGCTAAAAAGAAATCATCGTGGTCTTTCTAGAGCTAGAGACAATAAGGTCGTTTAAAAATTCCTCCTGATGTACTTATATGCTGCCAACACCCCCACCCCCTCCCCGCTGCTCTCCTCCCCCTGCTTTAAGGTTAAGGCTATGGAGTCAACAGTAAAGGAGCAGTAAACTCCGAGAAAGCTGCTCAGAAGACGTTACCAAAAACCCCGATGGGCTGAAAAGTCCTTTATTTGCCAGGTACTTCAGCTGGGTTGGATCCCCGTGTAAATCCACGCGTGCGTCCGCACGCGGGGAGCCACGGGCACACGCACCCATGTATTGCCAGTGACAGCCCGGCAGTGGGATTCGGCAACTATTTAAAAAATGCGTTATTTTTGTTTGCTTAATTCCTGCGCTACCAAACGTTTAAAACTAGCAGCGGCTTTTCGGCAGACCTCGATGATCCGAAAGGTGCGGCCGTGGGCGCCGGGGTCGAGGCAGAGCCGAATGTCGACAGGGGGAAACCCACCAGAAGTCTCGGGAAATGTCAGCCGCCCAACCTACACATCCCCACCCTATACTTACACACGCTTTCGGTTGCGTATCTTTCTCCGCATCTCACACGGAGACCTCTGTTTCGCTACTTCTCCATCGTTTGTTTGTTTGTTTGGGTTTTTTTTTGGTGCCTTCCCTTGGCCATCAGCACACGTTGTGTATCCGGGGTCGTCTTCAAGCAGGCTGGGGGGAGATCCTGATAAAGAGCCGGCGGAGGCCCCTTGCACACGCACACGCACATTAAAGGCAGGGGACTTGAAAATGGATTTGCACGCACACAGGGGATTGCGATCAATAGCCACCAACATTTATGGCTTAGATTGTTAATGTGAAAGCTGGCCAAAAGAATGAAAATGAAAAATTAAAGGTGTCTGGTATCAATTACATGAGAAGTTATGCAATAATTTACTTACTGGGAGCCGGGGTGTATGCCTGCGTGTTCGTGTGTCCGTGTGTATGTCGTGCATGTGTGTGCAGACCCAGAGGTATATGTAGCTATCTCTCAAAAGCAAGGGAGTTTCTTTGTTAATTTCGTGGACTGTGTCACCCTCGCTGGTGATCAAAGATGAACATGATTAAAGGGATGGACGTTTGTCTCACATTTCTTAAGATAAGGACACCCAGAGATGCCCGGTTTTGCCAAATACATATACATGCAACTACAGAGAGTTGTGTGTATAGGCGCACACACACACAGAGACTATCAATCAAACGTGCTCCTTTTCACGTTGAGTAGCGTGCAATCTGCAATCTACACTCTATAGTCAGTAGCATTTCAGTCTTGAAGCTGTCTGGCCGAAAGATAAACCTCATTAGAAAAGAAAGAGCAAAATAATGTTCATAATATCTCGCTGTAGACCTATTCCCATTTATTGGAAATCGTATACTTTCATTTTTGTAAACTTGTGTTAAAATATATATGCTCGCGGGGAAGTGCTTAACCACGTCGTTCCAGAAAGAAAATGTGTGTAACGTTTAAAATACTCCTTTTACGTGATGTTTTGATTTATTTTCATAGTATGATTATGTTTAAATACCAGTGCAATTCAGCCTGACCTCTTCCTTCTGCAATGAAGTAATGCACACACCATTTACAGTCTTTTAAACGTTTAGTTGGGAAATGCAACAGCGATGTCCACCAGCGGCTGTACTAATGGAGAGAATTCTTTTGAAAATCTTCGGGAAAACCTAAGAGGTCATGTGCATTTTCACACTAGGATTGCCACATTATTAGGGTATTATTATTATTTATTATTATTTGTTAAGTGCTGGACCGTGTCTTCAGGTATTGACAAGCATTAAATAAACCTTTTGCTTTCATGACGCTGGGCAGAAATACATATTTCAAATGAGAACGTGTTTTCTAACCCTATACCCTGCTCCTAGATATTGCTGGGCATATTTTGCTCAAGGAGGACACAGATAGAAAGCAGCTAGAGGCTATCACAAAGAGTCTGGTAACGTAAATATAATAGGGTCAAAGAACATTATAATAGGATCCTTCTGCTATTTTAAAGTCAGCCAAATGTGACTGTAGCACCTAAAATTTGCCGTAAATTCTAGTATGACAACAAGTCAGAATGTATAACTAAATCTCCTAAACGTGTAGGACAAAGAAATGCCAACCATCAGTCTGGGGGAAAAAAAAAAAAAAGATAATCTGGCTAACACTCCTATGCCTAGGAGTTTCAGACTTGGGTTTTTTTATTCTTTTTTTTTTCTTTTTTTTTTCTTTTTTTTTTCTTTTTTTTTTCTTTTTTTTTTCTTTTTTTTTTCTTTTTTTTTTCTTTTTTTTTCTTTTTTCTTTTTTTTTTTTGTAAACAAAGCAGCGATGCAGAGTTCTGCTAAGTGCTTTTTAAGTTGTATTTTTTCCGTGGGGGCTGGGGTGTCACTTGCACACTAGAATTCTGTACAATTTATAATCACCACGGGCTAAGACTGTTTCTTGAGTTTGGTACTCCTGGTAGTTTTAAAATACTTTTTAGCAGGAGTTTCTGGACACATACTACATGCCATGTTGTTTACTGACCCATAATCAGAATGCAGTGACCTTCTACCC